TGTGTGTGTATGTATGTATGTATGTTTGCGTGTATGTATGTATGTATGTATGTATGCGTGTATGTATGTATGTTTGTATGTATGCATGTTCTATATATATATATATATATATATATATATTGTTTGACGAGTGTAGTTGCCCCCATCTGTTCACGTTCATTTGGAGTGTGTATTTCTTTGTTTTTGAAAACCTTTTCTGCAAATATTAGAGCTGGTGTACAAACTCTATATCAGATGTCGATGTACATCGAATTCGAGGTTGCATATGCGTACATACACACATATTGTAGGTATGAGCCAACTTGCCCTATACTGTAGTTGTACCCAGTATAGTATCATGGAAGTGACACAATTTGGATTGACTTTACTTGACAACAACTCGTGTTATGGATCCAAATTTTCTACAACATTACATATACATACAAATTCTCCTATCCACCTACATGTTGAACGGTAGAGCGTATATGACTGCGATCGTAACCTTTATACCTCTCGGTTGCCCAGGTGACGCATATTCTCAATGCACATGGTGTGGCACAGGTCTCCGTCGTGTGCTTGCTGGCCCACATCCCTCGCGAGTGCGCCCATGTGGTTGCCATGGAATTGCTGGATATGTTTGTCACGAGTCAGCAGCTGCTTATAGTATCGGCATACCACTTTTCGGTGCGTACAATGGAATGGGACCGCAGTTTGTTGCGCCCAGTGCGAATGTACCGTATGCTGTCGGACATGAAAGCGCTGCGTTGAGTCGCGTTATTTCGTATGCTGTCACATGGTGTCGTATGCTGTCATATGGTGTCGTATGCTTTCACATGGTGTCGTATGCTGTCACATGGTATCGTATGCTGTCACATGGTATCGTATGCTGTCACATGGTATCGTATGCTGACACATGGTGTCGTATGCTGACACATGGTGTCGTATGCTGACACATGGTGTCGTATGCTTTCACATTGTGTCGTATAGTGTCACATGGTGTCGTATGTTGTCACATGGTGTTGTATGCTGTCTAATGTCACATGATTCAAATGGTATCCGGACAAGTTTGAAATATCTGGGGCTAGTGAACGGCCGAAATGCTTACTGCGAACAACCATGGTGCCGCGTTAGAACTGATATTTTTGTACATTGTCGTACTGTATTGTCGGATTTTATATGCGGTTGCAAGCTAACTATATATTGACGCACACGTCGCATGGTGTTTGCCGATTCTATGGTATTGGTCGATTGCTCATAGTCTGACTCTGTCACTTCTCACCACAAGATGGCCAGTGTTTAGTCTCGTATATGTTTTGAGTCGTAGTTTGTAGTCGAGGCAGATGGTGCGCTGCTCATTATGTATACATGCATACAAACCCTGATATACATAATGTCCAGATACCGAACTTCCCCCCTGTCAGTCCCATACTGCTTTGCATCTGACTCCTGAAGTATGTCTTAATACCTATGGACCAAGATCAAGCAGGTTACCAACATATTGCTTGTTAAGTGGTGTTTCCTATCAGTGGTCATACAATGGCGATCTCATATGGAACTTCCTTTCTCTCATTCGCTAGACTGGTGTGGGTAATTCTTCCGATGTCCATGCTGCTACTCTGGACACATCATTACCACAGGACATGAATATAAGGTGAGCAGGACAAAATGTTGGTTTTAGTACATATACATACATGCATATGTACTTCTGTGTGTGTAGGAATTATATATATATATATATATATATAGTAGGGTAGGGGGGACGACAAGAAAGTAGGACACATAGTACAGAGTAGGT